GGTTTGTTTGTTATCATTGTTTATAGTTTAAATCAGCCTATTACATTACCAGGTCATGTTAAATCTAGTCAAATTAATAACTCAAGTATTATGTTTTTTTTTCCTTTATAAATACTACCATTATCTAAATGTTCATATTGTATGTTAAAAAAAAATTAATAAACCTGCGATGTAGAACAAGTTATATATCTAGTGAGGAATTGAAAGGGAATGAAAGTTACATCAAAATGGAGATTTTAAATCATGGTTCACGTGGTTGGTAGCTATATGTTCATGGCAAGAAATTATGGTTACGGAGCCTTCTTTCATATGGTGGGGGACATGGAGTTTCGTGTAAGAAATCTATGACATTCTTGGCTGATGTTAGCTCAAACCATTATTTGTATTGTAATTCAATTTTCACTTATTGATTTTTTAATTTAATTTTATAAAGTTCAAAATATAAAATTAAAATATCACAGAGTTATTTTAATAAAAAATATAATTTGTTAGTTTGTATAGAAATTAAAGACTACAATATACTTTTATTATTCTATTCTTATCTTTAAGATAATAAGAGTTATTTGTTTTAAAATTTAATTCTTAATCAAATTCAAACCTCAAAAAAGAGAATGAGTTAAATTGAAACTTTGTTTCTCACACATGAAGTGACTCTGACACTATACAAACCTCAGTATATGCACTAAAAGGAAGGAAAACAAATGCAAAAAGAATAATACTAGTTTTCTTAGCAACGAGCGTTTGCATCAATTTTCACGCAAGAAGTTGACAATGCAGTCAAATAATAGGTAAGTCATTTCGTTCCCTTCTTTTCACTTTTAATTACCCTCTTCCCATAACAAATGTGCGCGAGTTACTCGCGCACACTTGCAAAGAAAAATATATTAGTTGAATTACTGGTCTGAACTAGTAATCGAGCCGGTTTGGTTAGGTTCGATTGAGCCCAAAAAAAAAGAGTGGGTCAGGTCTACCTATCCTTCCCAAATTGTATTTGCTAAGGATGTGATTGGCAAAACACACCCTTATATCCTGACCATAATTTTTATGTCCATTCTAATTTGATATTTAACCAAACAAACCCCTTTTAAATAACAAAAAATTTTAAAAATATTTCGGGATCTTCGTTGATTTATTGTGGGCTCCTCACACTTTGTTTTATTTTTTATTTATGTTTGTATTTTTTTTTGTAAATATGCTCAATCTGTGGACTATTACTGTTAAATGCAAATATGTCGTATAATATTTTTTTTATTTCCATCTAATAAAATAAAATAATAATAAATGATAAACAAAAAAAAATGACATAAAAAATTTCTTCTTCAAAATTATTTTTTACAAAAATATTCACTAACGCCAAAGTCAGGAATATTATATATTTTGGATTTGTGCGATATTTACCAGCGCCAAAGTTAGAAATATTTGTAGGAATTGTTCACTGACACCAGAGTTAAGAACATGAAAAGAAAAATAAAAAATAAAAATAAAAATAAAAAGGAGAGCAAGTTTTTAACAATTTTAAACAAAACCAGTAATACAGCTTACCTGAGATAGGACGTTTAAGGAGTGATAACATCTTTTCTTTTGCATAATTAGTCTCATACTAGATAATCTTTGTTAACCAGTTAGAGTTTCTAATGACCATAATATTATATGTTGACTCCTTAAATAAGATATTTTTTTCTAAAAAATAAAATATCAAATATTTTTTTATCAAAATTATTTTTTAATTAATTATCACAATATCATAACGTGACACCTTGTTCTAACTTCTAAGCCCGGCATTAGAGCCCAACTATGCCACTTAAAAGGAAAATGTAGAATACTCTCAAAACTATTGGTTTTATTGATATTGATAGGCTTGTTTGGAAGTATAGTTATAGTTGTTAAACTATTGGTTTTATTGATATTGATAGGTTTGTTTGAAAGTATAGTTATAATTGTTTTTTAAATAGCTTTTCGTGTCAAAATATATTTTAATAATTTTTTTATTTTTTAAAAAGTATTTTTAATATCAGTATATCAAAATAATTTGAAAATACTAAAAATATATTAATTTAAAATTAATAAAAAAATAAAAACGTCAACATGCCGCTTGATGAACTACGAAGAACAACAACTATAACAACAACAAACGTTTAGCAGGAGATAACTCGCTTTTGCTAGGATCTCATTGTGCTTTTGGATCTTTGGTGAACCTTCCTTGCACAACATAACCAGCCGTAGAATACTCACACTCAAAACACAGTGTCTCCAGGGTCAAATCAACTAAACATGCCACTCCTAGATTTTCAAAGCCCCATGGTTTCTCCTCTGAGTTTCCTCAGGCCAGTGCTTCAACAGGTTATCTCGCCTCCGACCAATGAAGCCTCCGAAGGGCTGGTCCTAAACGTCCCCGTGACTTGCGCTTGATTTTGGAACCTTTCAACTACCTAGACGTATAAAAACTGGCAAATTGGTACAGTGGTAATCCGTGTGTGTGTGCGTGTGCCTGTCAACGATTTCTAAACTAGGCCATCAATATTGTGGATCCAAGCATCCTCATGTGAAGCCCTATTGAATACTTGGACGAGATGTAAAAAAAATTTAAAGATTATTAAGTCAATCAACTGGATTTTGACAACCAACACACACTTTGAATTCCCAGGCATCGAATTTCGAATTCCGAAATGCCATTTCTGAAACAATTTATAGACTTTTCCGAAGCATGTTAATTACATTCGAGAAGGAGGAGAAATTTTATAATACCAAAATCGAAAATTAACATATTTAAATAATAATTTTGCAGTTTTTCACAGTATTTCATTCTAAACTCCAATGAGAACCTTCGAATAATGATAAAATTTTCTCTAATCATAACCGGAGGATCTGAAAATGTAACCTTTGCCTTCAAATATACTGCCAAAGCATCAGTTACGTATCTAACCAGTCATTTATTAACTTTAGGCCGTAGGTAAATGTTTTTTTAAAAAAAAAACTTTATCTTGTGTGTTATAGTTTTATTAACCTTTATATTGCATTTGGCTTGTGAGATAAAAAAAGACGAAGATACCAAGAATAAAAGACACAGACAGAAAGATAGTTTTGAAATTAATTTTTATACACTAAAGCATGGTCTCCCACATGATTATTTTTGAATCCTGTTACAGAAAACTGACATCTTTTTTCTTCTTCTTTTTTCACCCACCTTAACTGATAGGGCCGGATAAATGTACACCAAATAAATGAAACTGCAGATTTGTTGAGATTACAGGGACATAATTCTTTGATGCATTGAGAAAAAGGCAGGAAAGGGAGAGTTAAAAACGTGAAGCACTGGGGCCTGACTTTCTCTGTGATTCTTCTCATTCAAAAACGGGGGATTTTTCTCCAAGTGGAGACAGATGAGGGGTTCATAACTACCGAAGGAGTGCATTTTTTGTTGAATGGTAGCCCATTTTATGCAAATGGCTTCAATGCCTATTGGCTAATGTATGCAACTGACCCGACACAGAGAGACAAAGTGACAGAGATCTGTTTTCCAAGAAGCTAAAGAACTCGGGCTTTCAATGATGGTCAAGATAGAGCTTTGCATGTCGTCTCACCTGGCCACTGCAATTAACAGACTTTCCAGGCAGTCATGGTATATCTTGCCTGGTAACATTCTTTTTAGCCTTTTGAAATTCTCCATCCTTTGTTAATGATATGGTTTATCCTTTGTTAAAAGGTTAACTAGCTACTAGGAAGGAAGCTAGGAGGCATGGTATTAAGCTAGTTTTGAGTTGGGTGAACAACTATGTTGACTTTAGAGGGAGAAAAATAGTATGTGAACTAGGCAGCCAGTCAAGGATACTACAGGAGTCGAATCAAGGTGAGGGCGACTCTCCTTCTGTCTCTTTGCCATTATTCATCCTCTCATGGCTGACAGCTGGAGAAACAAATGATCCAACTAGTGTAGTCTCTCTCTCTCTCTCTCTCTCTCAGTGTCCTTTCCTTCTATCTTTGCTGTATATATTGTATAGGCTATTCTCACAAGACGTAACAGTATCACTGGAGTCGCTTTCAAAGATGAGCGAAGGACGGAGTCAAGAATTTTTTTAATTATAGGCTATTAAATAAATATATAATTTTTTAAAAAATATATATTAATTAATTTATATAAATTTTTGAAGTTAATAGTAAATTTTTAATTCAAATATATTATTTAAAATATTAAAAAATAAATTTGAAAGTTCATTAAATTAAAATAAAAGGTAAAAATAACCCCATGTTAAAGTTACATTCTCCAATATTTTATAAAATATAATTCATTTATAATTAAATCTGAATTGATATTGTAATAATCTCTCAACTAAGATAAAATAACAATCAACAAAATAATTAATTTTTTTCCTCTTTCAAATCCTCCTTCCCTCACTTAATGTTTTACTAGATTAGTGTTTTATAAGTTAGGCTTTGTAAATTTACAAGCTTATTCTTATTATTTTTGGATTTTTTATGTTTTTCCTTTATTTTTCTCTCTTGCCTTTTCTTTTTTTCTTTTTCTATTCTACTTCTGCTCGGTCAACAACATATAAAAGGAAAGAAAATGTGATTTGTTTTATTTTTTAATGGCAAATAATCATTTTATTCTTAATGAGTTGTTTTGTCTTTATTTGACAGTTTTTTTTATTAGCACTACCAAGCTTCGTTCATTCTAAAATTTTAACCAGATTTTATTTAATATATTTTAAAATCCCTTATAAAATTTCATTTTAATCTGATAGTCGAATTGAAAATTATGTATAATAACATAAAACTAGTTAAATTATGATTTTTTTTTTAAATTTCTGAATCTCTTTAAAATTTCTAAAATTTTAACCCAAACTTAAGAATTATATTAAAAAGCTCCACACAAATTTTTAAAAAATTTTAATGACTAAATTATAAATTATAAATTTTTTTATATAAAACTAATCAAAAAATATTAATAAAATCTTACCTGTACTATAGCCCACCTTAGCCTTCAGCATTCCTCCGCCCATGCCAACAATGATGGTTTAGGAGCTCATGAATGAACCCAGATGTGTCTCGGATCTATCAGGAAGGACCTTTCAGGTTTGTTAGACTTCTCCATCTTATGTTTTTAATTGTACATGTCTGGTTCTCTTCATGAATACAATATCTTCAGCCTTCAATATCTCTCAACTCTATTATATTTTGAATCTTGAGAGTTCCTTAATGTTGTTTTCCAATTCTACTCAGATCACTGAAGGGGTTGTAGAGATTATTTTTCAGAATATATTTCATTTAAAAATATATAAAAAATATTTTTAAAAAAAAAAATAAGATTAAATTGCAAAGCTAAACACCTCCAAATGGAGTCTGCGTGCTCATAAGAACTCACCAGATCAGATCGTTAGATTTCCTGCCACCAACCCTCGAAGTGAGCACAGTAAATTTAATTTAACTAAAAGGTCCAGTATTACTGTTGGCGTGGGATTAGGTGAGAACTTCGGTAGCATTAATCTCGTTAACGTGGTCTGACAAAAACAAGGTCACTTTAAGATTAACCAAAAGCAACACGCAAATACGTAACTGCTAAAAACGTGTTTGGAATGGTAATTATGATTATCTTTTAAAAGTATTTTTTATTTTAAAAAATATAGTAATAATATTTTTTTTATTTTAAAAAAATTATTTTTTAAATCAATATATCAAAATAATTTAAAAACATCACAAACATATTAATTTTAAAAAAAATTAAATATTTTTAAAATACAATGCCAACCATGTTCTAAGGACTATCAACTCCTTGTGAGTAAAAAAATTGATTTGATGAAAAATTATTAAATAAAACATTACTGTTCGATTTTACTTAACGTGGCTTTGCATGGCAAGCTTGGATCACAGAGATGGCTTGTTACTTGATATCTATTGATGGAAACCACTTATTAGAAGCAGGCTTGTAAGGGGTTGGAATGTCATAAAATTGATTTTAATTTTTTAAAAAAAAATATTTAAAATATAACATATTAAAACAATACAAAAACATGTAAAAAAATTAATTTAAAATTAAACAAAAAAAAAACTAAAAAAAACCCTCAAAGTAAAACTCAACCGCAATGTTAGAAACCATCCCCTTCTCAAAAGCGGCAATCCAATCCAAACTTTCACGTAGGGACAGATTTCATTGCCAACAATCAGATCGCTGGCATTGACTTTGCTGCTGTTCATTCCTACCCTGATCAATGGTCTTAAGCGTAAACTTTCCGCCTAAAACTATCCCTGCTTCCTGTTCTGTTATGTCACGCTGTGTAAAAATCTGAGCATATAGCATTTTTCCTGGCAACGCAGACGTTCCTCACCAAATACGGCTATTTTTCTCTATGAACAGGCTAACTTATTCAGGTGAAGCAAGCCAAGAATCCTTTTTGAACAATTGGCTTAACGATCATATCCAAGATGCACAGAACATCCTTCAGAAGCAAGTTCTGTTCACGGAGTTCGGAAAATCATTGCGGACATCGAATGATAACCAAAGGGACCAGCTACTATTCAATACTGTCTTGTGTCTACTTAGCTATTTATTTATCAGCTAGCAATGGAGGTGCTGCAGCAGGCGGCATGTTCTGGCAACTACTTACTGAAGGAATGGACTCATTCCGAGACTGGCATGAAGTAGTCTTCAGCCAGAACCCTTCAACAGCTAGTATCATTGTTGATCAGTCTCCAAAGTTCAATCGGATTCGATAGATGGACGTTAGGCTGAGGAACATGGAGAAGTGGGAGAGAGCAAATGATATTAGAACAGCTGGGAACAACGGCGATTAACATGGAAAAATGAGAAGCCAGGAGACTAGTTTTGATAATGTTAGACTAGCAAACTCTTTTAACTAGAAAAATTAGCGTCATCGCTGAAGTTTTGAGTATCGAAATCTCTATTAGGGATGTATCAGCTCATCCAATGGTATTTCTTTTAGTGAAAGGAAAAGGGAAGCAATTAAATTCTAATATTTGATAATGCTAGTTGTGAAAAATAAGTTAATAAATAATTTCTTAATATTTTATTTTTTAAAAAAAAGTTTATTAAAAGAATAAAGATAAAATGATAAAAAAAACTAAGAATGAAATTCAAAGAAAAATAATTTCTTAAATTATTTCAAATAAAATAAATAATAATTAAAATAATAAAGACTAAATTTCACAAATAAAAAAATTAAAAATAATAAAATTAAAAAAATACAATTTTATAAATTATTTCAAAAATAAATAAATAAAAACCAAATACAATAAATAAAAATTTTCAATTAAAAAAATAATAAGAGAAAAGCAAATAACAATAAAAAATAAAAACTAAAGATATTAAATTTTAAGGGATGTAATTAAAAAAACATCTAAATAAAATATATAACAATCAAAAGCTTAAATATCAAATTTTATATAATCATTAAATAATAAAACATTTCTGAATTTTTTATAACTTTTAAAAAATATTTTTCATCCAAAATAAAAAATATATATTTTTATGAAACCAAACTACTTTTTTTTACTGAAAAATATTTTCTTTTTTCTTAATCAATTTTTGCAATAATAAATAAATACAAAAAAATTTAGAAAATAAATTTCAAGAAATCACTTTCCCCGTAAAACTAACGATCAACGCTTAGAATCCAAATCATCCCCTCCTTGACCATGGCAATTTTATTATAGTTCAAAGATTAATTCTGATCTAGCCAAACAGGGCTGAAGTTTTAAAGTCAGAATAAAAAGTTGTATTATCAATCCTGTGGTTTGAGCTTCAAGCAATGAACCTGTCGATATTTCTAAATAGACTTCAGGCGCCTTCGATTTATTCAAGTTAAAATACTACCTCTTCTTGGCTGTTCTGTCACATATGGAAGGAACAGGTAATTTGCGCACAAGGCAGTTCTTTGTGATCACAGCAACCAAATACAAAGATGCGGATTGATTGCTCCTCAGCTTCATCACTAAGATTCAGCTTTTTCTAGATAATGGTTCCATCTTTAATTGTTGCATTCTTCAGGACGGCTGTAATCCCTGATCTAATGTAAAATCCTTCACTTGGCCTGTCTCCTTCTTGAACACCCTGATGAGCCAGAGCATATACATGCCGATCAAACACAGGACACTTCTTGGTGGTATTGAAAAAAACCCCAAGTTGACATGAAGTTTAGGGAGAACAGAAAGTTACACTTACATCAGCATTCGTGATGATCACATCTTTTCCTATCTTGGCATTCTTATCAATAATACAATTCCTGGGGGAAAAAAGCATATGTTCTGCCATCAGGCCAAAGAATCCACAAATGAATATTTTAATAGGTAGAAGCAATTATGATTGGATGATGTTACATGAATGAATCGATAAAGCATTATTTACTGCAGAAACAACATGCAGGTCTCATCTTGTACACTGAAAGTTTTTGCATGTGTGCCTGTGCATGGGAAAGAGGAGTTGCTGCCAAAATCTTACCTGATTTTGGTATTCTGACCCACGCCAATTGGAACCTTTCCTTCTGCTAGCAGAGAGGCAATTTCAGATTCAGTTTGATAGTAGTCAGCACCCATCATCATAGTATCCTGGAGATATAAGCACCCTCTAGTTAGTCTATTACCATAATCAGTTGTCGCTCTGGAATTGAAAGGACAAATTGGCCAAGCTTCTACATGATGCCATCTCGGCATCAACTAATGATCACTGTTTATGTTAAAATTCATGCACACAAAATCATGCGCATTTATGGGATTTCAATAAAAAAAAAAAAAAAGAATTGAGCATGCATCTGACCAGTACATCTTGACTCTCATTCAGATGGCAGAAATATACAATCAGAATGGGGATTTGGAAAACCTCGAAGACACTGCAAACACAATTCCTTACAGAATGCACTCTGGTTTTTGCAGAATGATTGACCTTTTCCACGACTTCCTTAATATTACAATAACATTGCTTAAGATCATCATTACAGATTTTAATGGTATTTTTTTAAAATGCAGCCTGATATCATGAAGTGTCACCAAATAAACGAAATATAAACAAAAGCACTATCTGGAACCGGTATAGGCCCCTGAAGTTTATTGTTGTCAGTAGACATCATCCAATAACGTGCATTCCAACATAACTGGCCACGGTGGAGCCAATTTCATAGCATACTGGCATGCTTAATTTCATCTACTGCCATCTAGGAGCCTATTTTTGGCTGAAGTAATCAAATCCAATAGGTTTAGAATGTGATGCCCCTAAATCCAGAACCCTGCCTCTGTAAGTCAATTAATTTAATACCAAAGAAAGCCTTCTTAATCCAGTACCAGCTTTAAACAAGAAGGGAAGAGAAGCCAGGAGAAGGGGAAAGAAAAGGGTAAGAAAGCTAGCTTACTGTAAGCTCAACACCACTCTCTAAACGTGAGCGGACTCCTACAATAGAATGTTGCACGCTACATTCTCGTAAAAAGCAGCCATGTGAGATTATTGCATCGACAATCTGCAACAAAAAAATGTTACATGAGATGCAACAAGCACATTAGAAATTGTAACCTCATTTGCAATTGAAATCATACCCTGCATTTATCAACTTTAGTAGGCGGTAAGAATCTAGGAGAGGTGAAGAAAGGTGTCTTCGGATCGTAAAATTCAAACTTTGGTGGCTGCATTGAAGAAAACCAACTGATCAATTTGCAGAACCATGACCTTTTTGAAGAAAGGAAAGCCCCCTCATTGCAGTGCTACCAGGTTACTACAGAAATAAATGGTATGACAATAACACCAACCTGCTCTGTGAGGGCCAAATTGGCATCAAAAAGGGACTTTATTGTTCCAATGTCCTCCCAGTAATCGTTGAATAAATAAGCCTGAAAATTAAAAGAACTCAGAAATGCAGAAATTCAATTACTGGAATAAAGTTAACTGATGCAAATTAACTAGAAATGAAAAATTGGAAGAGAAGGAAGGGCAAGTGGATGAATCTATGATTGAGTGGCGATCTCACCTGGACATTATGCTCCTTCACAGCAGATGGAATGATTTCAGAACCAAAGTCGTTGCATGAGGGATAGCTACACCTCAGAAGCTTCAGCAAGACATCAGTTCTAAACACATAAACACCCATTGAAGCAATATAGGGAAATTGCATGGCTTCTTGCTTGGAGAGTCCAAGAAGAGTGGTATCAACTTGCTGCAGTGCAAAGAAAATTTCACTAGCTAGATATAAAAACTAAGGGCATATCAACTTAGAGAAGACCAGAAAGGATCTTGATTAAATCTGTAACTAAGAATTGGAGCTCAGAAGACCAGAAAGGATCTTGATTAAATCTATAACTAAGAATTGGAGCTCAAAAAAAATGAGATAAGTACAGACTAACTACCATTGCTTTCAGATCAGTGCCCTTAGGTTTCTCAGCAAATTGAATGATACGCCCAGTGCTATCAATCTTCATCAGTCCATAATCTGATGCACGACTGCAAGATAACTAATTTCAATGAATTTCCAAAAGCACAACAATATTTATCAACAAGTAATGTTATGAATGATGGCAAGTTGAATGACATCAATTAGAATTCTATAGTTATCAGACACTGCCACAAGACCATGCAATATAACGTAAAAGTAATCTAGAGATACCTGTCATCCATCGGTACACAGGAAACTGTAATATCTGCGTTAGTGTCAATATGCTTCTGCAAATGCATTAGACATCAAAAGGCAGAAGTTAAGTCGGATTGTAGGAATCAGACACAATAGAAAACTGTATTTGATGCAATATCCCACAAGTGAACGCATAAAAAAGTACCTGAACAAACTCCATGTAGTTCATTCGATAAAGATGATCACCAGACAAGATCAATACATGCTCCACGTTCTTGGTCTTTGCATCCTGAATAAACAAGTGAAACCCATTTAGTCAAATTTACACTGGTAAGTTCAAATCTTCGACAGAAAGCAAAATTCTGAGCTCTCACCTCAAACATCCATATAAATTGCCTCACAGCATCTGCAGTTCCTTGAAACCACTTCTTTCCTGCTTCCCCTGGTGTTTGAGTAGCTGCCAAAACCTGTTCCTCGGGCAAAGATGTCTCTCTCAAAAACTTTCACACCAGTAGTTGAAAATAACACTCAATTTGACAACAAAGACAACTCTGTAGTCGCATTGATAAAGTAATAAGCAATTTAACAGAAATGCATTCTTTCATGAGATTGCCATGCCTCAATAGACCAAAGCATAAGCTCCTCCTATGATATTGTTCAGGTGTTTTGTATACAATTTAGAAGATTTTAAACACTCCTTCACCAGAACCATCTTACCTCCACAAATCCATCTCCAAAACTAACACCATTGCCAAAGTTATAAGTACGAGCTAGATGCCGATTGAGTGAGAAGGAATTAAACTGGGTTAGGATGAAAATCTTCTTTATCCCACTATTGATGCAATTACTCATAGGAATATCAATCAACCTGTAACAGCCTCCAATTGGAACCTGTATTTAAGAAACGCAAACATAAATCTACAGTTATTCTTAATAAAATACAGGAAAAAAAAAAATCCAAGCCCCCACTATGATTTCAGCTTGTTCACAAAAACTCAAAAATTATTTCTAGAAACCATGGACTAATCAAATCTTACCGCGGGCTTGGCCCTTCTGCTAGTAAGAGGAAAGAGGCGTGTCCCAGCTCCTCCACCTAATATGATCGAAGCCACATTACTTGGGTCTGCTTGTGGAGTCTCAAACACCGGTGCCTCAAAAATCTAAAATCAAAATAAAAAATACTTAAGCATTGCAACCTAGCAGAATCAAACATTAATATATAGACATCAGATGTTGAACAGTGTATGTAATTACCACAGTTTCTTCGTTAACATCTGATGTGAGAAGAGAGTAAGCAACTCCAGGCTTGATCTTCTTAACACCACTTCTCAAATTTTTCCGCAACTGGGCTCTCGAATCCCAGCTCTTCAGGTTCTTCTTAAGATTCTCACCCCAAAAGATAGTCCC